CAGGACACCAGGAGCTCCAGATCAGCAGCATTTCCCCAGTCCCTGCACAGGAAGGTGTTTAACCAGGCAGAACTGAACCCCTGTCCTTTTCCTATTGTGCACCTCCAGCCCAGGGAAGGGCTGTGGCTCTGCCTGGAGAGCAGCACAGCAGCCTGGGGCAGAGCCAAACCTCATCCCAAACTGAGGGAGCTCAGCAGACAAACCCCATGCAGCTCCCAGGGCTCACAACACTGTGAGAGTCCTGGGCCAGGAGGCCTTTCCCTGCCACACCACAGATCTCAAAGCCAACCCCGAGCAGAACTGGTCCCAGATCCACCAGTGCCGAGGGAGCTTTGGCCAACACACAATGGAATTGTACAGGAGCTCTTAAGACCCATAGGATATAACAGCACTAGACATGGACCTTTTGTTGGGACTTTGAGGCAAAGTTTAGAGCTTTCCACAAAGTCAGGCTAAAGAAAATCTCTTAGGAGAGAAGGAAGTGACTAAACTGCTGCTCAGCTTCTTACACAAGGCCAGACTGATAGACTTCACATCATGACCAGGACTTGCAGAGTAATACATCACCCTGAACTACTAAGCTCCTAACAGCTCGTGCTGTCCAATCCTTTCTCTGTGGAAAGCCTGTCAGAAATGAAGGAGCTCAGCTCCACTAGTGTCCACTTGTTCCTTGAGGAAATATTCCCAGTCCATCAGAACTCTCCATTCTCTCACTGCCACCTCTCCAGGCACTGACTGCACTTCACACTCTGGTCTAGGACCACCAAAGAGGAGATGATGTCCCAGTTCCCACTGGCTGCACCTTCTCCCACACCTACAGAATGCTACTGAAGTCAACTCCAAGCGTTGACACCCTCAGGACAGAGCACTGTGATGCCTGAAGAGGAATCCATGCCCTCCTTTAATGGATCAGACTGCAACCATGCCCCCCTTCCCCCTGAAGGTGCCCTCTACCAGCACTGCAGGGTGGAGGTGCCTCCTGGCTGGGAGCTGGAGCTCTCTCAGCACACACAGCACAAAACAAAAGGCATTGGTCTGGAAATCTTACAAAAGAAAAGCCATCAGAGTTACTGCCCTTAATTTTATTACATAACCAGACAGAACAGTTGAGACTGGAATGTCAGAGTTCCCCTTCGAGCACAAGTCACAGCTTTGTGTTTGCTTTGTATCAGAAAACTCAGCTCACTAATGCACGGGTGGGACTCACCGAGGGAGGCACAGGCTCAGAACACAGAGCACAAACTCACTGCCAACAGCTCCACGAGCCCTCGGGGAGCAGCAGCTGCTCTTCCTTGAGATCCTTTCACCCAGGATGTGCCATCCTGCCAGTCAGTGCATACCAGAGGGGATGCAGGTGTGCAAGAGCTAGTGAGTGAGGAAAAGCCAGCAGAGGAGGTTTGCACAAGCAGCAGACTGACTGCAGGGAGGTGTGGTAACATTCTTCCCCTCAGTACAAGAGTTAAGAGTGGTTAGCCCTGCTGACAGCTCTGTTACGTCAGTGAGTACAATCATTGCAGAATTCCAGTCTGCAGCTCAGTCAAACAGTAAGAGGAAAACGACAGGTTAGTAGTTACTATGTGAAATCTTAACCCTATCCATTTCAGCAGAGCTCAACACTGAGAGGGGATGAAGAGAAAGTTCCAGATGCTATGGATCTGCAGGAGTTTTACAAAATGTATAAAGTATTGTGTTTCTCTACAACAACCAAAACCCTCACGAGTGCAGGGATCTATGTGACATGAAAATATTGCTTCACTCACTCCAACAGGGGCAGGAAACGCCTCGAGAAAAAGCAGCATGCAAAAAAACCCTGGAACTAGAGCAGACCCTGCCTTCAGACACTGGCTGCAGTACAAAAGAAGCCCTACTTGTACAGGTTGCAGAAGGTCGCTGAAATCAATGCTCTGGCACTTACTGTACAACAATGTTAACTGATTAACATAAGCCATGAATAAATACTAAGCCACTCCAGGAAGCCTCGCACAGGCATTGCTGGTGGCAGAGAAAGCAATGCAGACATACTTCATTGTTCCCAAATAAAACAAGGAGAGAGAAAGATTTCCCAAGCAGGAAATGGTAAACTACAGAGCCAGACTAACTGTATTGGGGTAATGACAGAGTAAGTAATGTTATTTTCAACAGCTTTTCTTACGTGTGTGCAGCCACTACAAACCTCCCTGTGAGACTGGATCAGGACAGAAAACAGAGCATTTGGTAGGATAGCTAGTTTAATTTCTCCCCCATGTTTACAGAAACACAAGAGAAAAAAGGGATCTGACTATGGGAGAAAAAAAAAACCTTTTCACCTAAATGTAGTTATTTCTTCAACTGTTCAAGTCCCCATGGTTCCTCTCCCAGGAAAACAACAACAACACAAACAAACTCAACCCCCCCCCAAGAAACCCATTTGAGGAGAGTGTTTCATGGGATAATATCCAGCAGCAGATGTTCCAACACAAACATGTCTATCAGCTCAGTGACTACATGTCAAGCCCAACAGTCACCACATGGAAGGAGATGTTAGCCCTAAAGTTACAGGTCTAAGATGAGAGGGAGAATGGAGCAAAGGAGGGAGGAGGGAGTCACTGAATCACAGGAGATAAGAAGTGCACACAAGTTTCTAAATGAAGCACAGACGAAGTGAAGGGCACAGAGTCATCTCCAGAAGGTCACAGGTTCTGACAGCACTGGAGTTTGTTGGATTTCTGTCCGTCGGTGGTTGGAGGGACACTGATGTCCACGACGTTGTTGCCTGGAGACTCATCGTGCGCAGACCTGTCTGCAATCTGCTTCTGCGACACGATGCGATAGATCTCTGCGGGGAGAGCACAGCGGTTAGAGCCTCCAGCAGCTGGCCAAGCATCTCACCCCAGAGCTCTGAAAGGGACTCTGGCCTGGCCAGATGTGGCGTGGAACATCTGGCTGGCCTGCCAGCTCTGGGAGGGACCTGCTGGCTGGAAAAGTTCACAGAATCACAGGATCAATCAGGCTGGAAAAAGCCTCTGAGATCATCACGTCCAACCCATGGCCTAACACCACTATGGCAACCAGACCATGGCACTGAGTGCCACCTCCAGTCTCTCCTTTGACACCTCCCTGGGCAGCACGTTCCAGGGTCAAATCATCCCTTCAGTGAAGAAATTCCTCCTGATGTCCAACCAAAGCCTGCTCAGGCACAGTTTGAGGCTGTTTCCTCTCCTCCTGTCACTGTTCCCTGGGAGCAGAGCCTGCCCCTCCCTGGCTGCACCTCCTGTCAGGGAGCTGTAGAGTGAGAAGGTCACCCCTGAGCCTCCTCTTCTCCAGGCAGCAGTGATGATTCCCTGTTCCCACCCCAGCTCCTGGCAAGCTGCTACCACACCAACAGCAAAGCTCCTCTCTGCAGCAAATCAGTGTCCCCACCTAGGACAGTAAAAAGCCACATGGATCCACAAAGGCCCATGTTGATCCACACGAATTCATTTGACTCCGATTAATTTCTGCCTGAAAGCACACAGATCCACCAAGCTGCAACCACTGCCAGCTCTAAAGGCTTTCAGAAACAAATCATTTCAGCTGCAGAGTTAGTAGAAATAATGCAAGCTGAAAGGGTTTTAAATTACTTATTCCACTGGCTATAAACCCTCGTTCCAACTTCCCTCCATTGTGAAACAGGAAAAGGACAAGTACCTCCCTGGAAGTCTGTGGTAAATATTATGGTCACATTCACACAGCCACAGCCTCAAACCAGCACCACCCAAAGCCTCCAGTCAGGATTTAAATCATGGGGGACTGAGAGGGGTTGGTTATGGCTGGGGTTTGTTAGGCTTTTGTTTTTAAAGAAGCTGCACATATTTCTGCTGTTTAAAATGGAAACCTTCAACCCAAGGCCAATCTCGTTGCCACTGGCTACCTGCAGCTCTCTGCTGCAAGGGCTGAGCTGCTCAGAGCCTGACACATCTCCCTTCTCTCCTCTGCTGGAACAGGAGCTGCTCAGAGTCATTGCCATTCCCCCTTTGCTTTGGGGTGGCATCTCTTCGGGGTGTTTTCCTTCCCGTCTTCAGTGATCCCTCAAACTGGTGGCCAGTAAGGAAACTCCTGTCCTGCAGTTCCTGTGGTGGCTCCCAACTCACTGCTTGGCTATCCTTTCTCCTGCCTGTCTCTTCTTGGGCATCTGGTTGTTCAGGCTGAAGAGGAAAAGCTCCAGGCACACCTTATTTCAGTCTTCAAGCACCAAAAGGAGAGAGCTGAGAGGGACTTGGGACAAGGGATGGAGGGACAGGACACAGGGAATGGCTTCCCACTGCCAGGGGGCAGGGATAGATTGGATACTGGGAAGGAATTCCTCCCTGGGATGGTGGTGAGACACTGGCACAGGGTGCCCAGAGCAGCTGTGCCTGCTCCATCCCCCAGAGAAGCTGTGGCTGCTCCATCCCTGGGAGTGTTCCAGGCCAGGTTGGATGGGGCTTGGAGCAGCCTGGGCTAGGGTAAGGTGTCCCTGCCCATGGCAGGGGGGGGACTGGATGAACTTTAAGGTCCTTCCAACCCAAACCAGTCTGGGATTCTACAGCCTTCCTCTAAAGTGCAGCACATTTCTGTTATCAGCAGAGTTGTCCAGCAGCACTTAGTGGCCCCAATGCCTTGGAGATCTTCCCTGCACACCCTGCCAAAGCAAGCCAGAGGAGAATCCAGAGCTCACCCTATTAACACTCAGCTCTTTCCCCAGTCACAGACTCCCATTGATACCTAATCAAGACACAATGCCACAAAGCCAGTTCTTTGGGCAGCATCCAGTAGCAACAGAGACCAGACACTTCCTGATCATCAAGTAGAACCAGAACAAAGACTCATTCTCGTTTAACTGAAATCAATATCTGGCCACAAGAAAGCTCAGAAAATGCTCATTTTGAGCTGTCGTGGGACATGTAGATCAGGCACAACATCACAAACTGTGTACAGGGATGAGACTACAGAGACACTCTAGAATTCACCTGTAGTAAGGAGTTGGACCTCACCAACTCTTCACGCTCCCAGTATGGATCTTAACAGAGCTTTTCAAGAGCCAGAACAAGGAGACCGATGAACTGTCCCCTCTTTAGGACAGGATTCAGATCTCCTGGGGCACCCAGGAGTCAAGCAATAATCTGTCTGACTGCACTCTTCCTACTCAGATACGACTTTTCAGGGTTCTTTGCCCACGACCAATTATTTTAGGAGTGGGACACTGCAACATCAGCTTCAGAGTCACAGGATGGCTGGGGTCACAAGGGACCTCTGGAGATCATCCACTCCAACCCCCTGCCCAGGTGGGGTCACCTAGAGCAGCTGACACAGGAATGTGTCCAGGTGGGTTTGGAATGTCTCCAGAGAGGGAGACACCAGGCCCTCCCTGGGCACCTGTCCCAGAGCTCTGCCAACTCCATGGAAAAGTTCTTCCTCATGTTGAGTTTCTGGCCATTGCTCCTTGTCCTGCTGCTGGGCACCACGGGGAAGAGCCTGGCAATATCCTCTCACACCCCTTGGAGGTATTTGTGTGGATTGAGGGGATCCCCTCTCAGCTTTCTCTTCTCCAGACTATCCAGGCCCAGCTCCCACAGTCCTTCCTCATCAGGGAGATGCTCCAGGCCCCAAATCATCTTTGTGGCCTCCCCTGGACCTGCTCCACGAGCTCCATGTCCCTCTTGTCCTGAGGAGCTCAGACCTGGCCACAGCACTCCAGATGTGCCTCACCAGGGCCGAGCAGAGGGGCAGGATCACCTCCCTGCCCTGCTGGCCACACTCCCCAGTGCACCCCAGGCCACCAGTGCCCTCCTGGCCCCAGGGCATACTGCTGGCTCGTGGTCAGCTTGTCACCCACCAGGTCCCCCAGGTCCCTCTCTGCAGAAGGTGCTGTTGGTGCAGAGACATCCGCTGAGAACAGGAGTTCAGCAGCCTGGACAAAAATTCTGAGGACCAGTCTGGTTTGGTGCAAGAGAAGACTCTGGAACATGTCATTTTCCATCCTGGCTGTGCTTCACTGCTGAGACCTTGTACAGGCACAGAACTACTACTACTACTACTACTTCCTTCTCAACAGTCCTATGGCCTGAGCCAGAACTGATGGACCATCAGGAGACAGAAATCCTCTCCTAGGGCAGAAAGGTAAGTATGGGGTAGTAGGCAAAACACACACCAACCATCATTCCCAACACTCATTTCCAGAACATTCCAGGGAACTGCAAAAGGTGCCCATGAAGAAGACCAATCACCTCAGGAGCAACTCTCAACCCACAACAAGCCATACCTGTAAGGATGTTCTTGAAGGCTTCTTCTACATTTGTTGAATCCAGAGCAGATGTTTCAATAAAAGATAAATTATTTTTTTCTGTAAGAAATAAGAAGTGGTTCAGTTAAAAACTTTTACAGGACTTCAGTTCACCTTGACTTGAAGATCAGCCAGACCTTCCCTTTCCCATCCAGACTCCACTCCAATCACCATCCCCTCTAACAGTCTATTTGCTTCTTCCACCAAAGACAGTGATTGACACCCAAACATCACCACAAGAATGGTAACAGAACAGGCAAAGTTCAGTCACAGAGCTCACACAGCAGCACCAGGACCATCCCTAGTGATTTAACACAGCCTTAGTAGGAAGTCAGGGGCAAGAACTAAGCTGAACCAAGTGCTCAAAGTAAGGCACTAACTGGGGCACCCTCCAGCCTGTTCGGCTTATCTGAGAGAAATGTCACTTCACATTCCACTGAAAATCTGAAGTGGTTTTACCCCCACAAGGCACTCACTGACCAGCAAACCCCAGAGCAGGTTTAACCAAGCCCTGGTAATATTTCTAGGGGTATTTGAAAGGCTGGAGATTGCAGTGCCACCTCCAAGCCTGACAGCCACACAAAAGTGAGCTGGATGTCCCCAGGCCTGTCAGGGCAAAAGAGCACATGAGCAGAGCTCTGCAGGTGTGGAAGAGCCAAGGAACGCAGTGGCAGCAGCTCACAGAACCCATGTGATCCCTCCCCACAACCAGAAATCCCCAAGCCTGGTGATCACTGCACTTAAGTGAGACTAGATGACACTACTACACGCATCAGTGCTCTGGAGCATAAATTGCCTCCTCTAGGAGAAGGTTCAGCTCTCGTTTGCAGCTGTCCAGGCTTCTAGGAAGGAAGGAAAGACATTTTGTGTCGTGTTCTTCTGCACTTCTGTTGTGACATTTGCTCTCCCAAATGTTGCTTACTGTTCTAGCCTTGTCAGAGGAAGTGTTTCATCTCCAGCTATCAGCTCAAGGACAGGGTTTCAAAAACATGGACTAGCACTGGATTAAAGAACAACAACAGAAAAACCCAAACCAAACATAGCAAGAGCAGGAGGGGGACACTGTGCTAGGAACTGCAGGGACAGGGCAAGGAGCAATGGGGAGAAACTGAAAGGGGAAATTGAGATTAGATGTTAGGCAGAAGTTTTCCCTGTGAGGGTGGTGAGACACTGTCCCAGGGTGCCCAGGGAGGCTGTGGCTGCCCCAACCCTGGCAGTGTTCACAGGTTGGATGAGCCTTGAGCAACTGCTCTGGTGGGAGGTGTCCCTGCCCATAGACTAGATTATCTTCAAACTCCATCCCAACCCCTTAAGATACTATGAAACTACGAACAAAACCTCCAAAACCCGATGATTTTTTTTAGGATCAAAACCAAAGCCTGAGGTGAAACTCCTCCCTGGGCAAGCCCAGGTGGCTGTGCACAGACCTGCGAAGGCTCTGGCCTCGTCGGTGGGCACTGCCCGCAGGTGGCGCAGGTCACTCTTGTTCCCCACCAGCATGATGACGATGTTGTTGTCCGCGTGGTCCCGCAGCTCCTTCAGCCAGCGCTCCACGTTCTCGTAGGTCAGGTGCTTGGCGATGTCATAGACCAGCAGAGCCCCCACGGCACCGCGGTAGTACCTGAGAGCACAAGGCACAGCCCTCACCCTCTGTGCCAGGCACACCAACACTCCTGGCACCTGTCCCCAGGCTGCTCTCCACCCTCTGCTCTGCTCTGTGAGGCCCCAGCTGGAGTGCTGTCACAGCTCTGTGTCCCCAACAGCAGAGGGACACGGAAGTGTTGGGGCAAGTCCAGAGGAGGCCACGAAGCTCAGAGGACTGGAGCATCTCCCCTGTGAGGACCAGAATTACAGAACCCATACTGCTGGGAGGTTTGTGTGAAGCTATAACTTAATTCTCTACTAGGAAAACAGTCACAGAATATTCAGAGTTGGAAGGGACACATGAGGGTCAGCAAGTCCAAGCCCTGCCCTGCCCAGGACACCCCAACACTGCACCCTGTGCCTGAGAGCATTGGCCAAACACTCCTGGAGCTCTGTCAGCCTTGGGGCTGTGACCACTGCCCTGGGGAGCTGTTCAGAGCCCAAACACCTCTGGGGGAAGAACTTTTCCCAATATCCATCCCAAACCCCTGACACAGCTCCAACTGTTTCTTTGGGTCTGTCCCTGGTCCCAGAGAGCAGAGCTCAGGGCTGTCCCTCTGCCTCCCCTCGGGAGAAGCTGTATATAGTGATATCAGTATTTTGTCCTGATCCTTTGAATATCTCCTGTCCCTCTTACAAATCCAAGAGGGCACTCTGGGCTATACTGACCCTATCCACAAGTCCCCAATCCAAGGACAGAGTTTGCTCTCTCAGGACAGGTTTGGGCCCAAGGGCTCAGGACAGCACCAGTCAATTTACATCAGCAATCCTACAATGTCCATCTCTCTCTTCCACACAATCCTCCCATCCCTCCTGAGCTCTGCCAGCACCTGTCTGACACCCTGTGAACGGATGCAGGGCCCCAAGTCAGCAGTAAAGATTCCCTTTCCCTGCTGCTGGCATTCCTCTGGCCGAGCAGGCCGGACTGGCCCAGCCACATGCAGGAGCTCGTGCCAGCACAGAGGAGAGGCAGCAGCACAGGGCTGCAGCTGCACTGCTTCCCAGCAGCCAAGCCTGGGGCTGAACCAGGCTCAGCAGCTTCTGCACCAGTGAGAACAATGCAAGGCTCACAAAAAGAATGCTGAAAAACACACATTAAGTTCTGGAAAAGTGGCAGTTTGCAACTGCCACTTCCATCTACTCCTGCATTGCTTTGGTTCTGCATCTCTTGCCCTACAGATTGATTGCTCCCTTTGGGCTTCAGGCTCTCCTGCTTCTCTCCCTTTTCTTCTGCATTACTCCATTTCACCCTCACGACAAAGTTCTCCTTAACTCCAGTTTAATGCAAGTGGCTCTATCTGTGCAAGACTCGGGAACAAGTTTTTAAGAACTGATACACATCTGGAACAGAAAAAAACCACAACTCCTGATCAGAACATGCCCTGGAGGGCCAGGCCTGAGCACAGGGTTTGCTTTGTGTCCTCTCACAGGTACCTTGGCCTCCTCCCTGCACAGAAACAGGCACAGCCAGAGGTACATCCAAAGACACCCTGTGGGTTACCAAGGTGCTGTTCCAAGCAGGGATGTGCCTCATGCTGCACAGTCAGCACCAGCACCACTGTCTTCCTACTTACTGTTCCTGCTGTTCAGTGTGTGCACTGCTGGACCTCATTTTCAGGGCTGTGACTAATTTCCAGGGACTTTGTGGCTGCAGACTGTCCTAAAAATACCTCAGTCTCGAGACTGGGGGGCAGTGGAGACCAGGAGCCATGAAGTGCTGCACTAAGCCACGATGCCCAGACCAAAACTCGATGCCAGCGGCACCAAACGACACCCACTGCACACGATAAACACAGCACACCAGGGCAGGAAAACCCCCAAATGACACGACTCAAACAGAACCTCCCACACTTCTGGTTTAAGCTGTCATTTGTTCCTATAACAGCAATATTAGACTCTAAAAATTCTTTTCATTAATCAAGAAACACAGAAGTCTTTGCTGTCATAAGACACTCGAGTCTGCCATGATTTAGCCACGTGGCCCAGATGTGTTTCAGTGACTCTCCAGCCATGAATGTAGGTGCAGCTCCTCAGCTGGAGCTCCAGAGAGCAAGGACAGAGTACTCACGCCGAGGTGATGGCTCGGTATCGCTCCTGGCCCGCGGTGTCCCAGATCTGAGCTTTTATCGTCTTCCCATCCACCTGGATGCTCCTGGTGGCAAATTCCACCCCAATGGTGCTCTTACTCTCCAGATTGAACTCATTGCGTGTGAAACGTGACAGAAGGTTACTCTTCCCAACTCCAGAGTCTCCAATCAACACAACTGCAAGAAGAGACATTATTGCCACCATTAATCCCTGGCAGTTGAGGGAATGGCCTTGAGCTGAGCCAGGGGAGAGGCAGATTAGATGTTAGGAAAACTGTTTCCCCTCTTAGGGTGGTCAGGCATGGGAATAGGTTTGCCCAGGGAGGTGGTGGAGTCACTATCCCTGGAGGTCTTTAAGAGGCATTGAGACCTGGCACTGGAGGATATGGTTTAGGGTTTAGGGGTTACAGCAGTGACAGGTTAATTCCTGGGCTTGATGCCCTTAGAGATCTCTTCCAGCCTCGCTTATTCCAAGGCAAGCAGCTCCCACAGCATTGTGCAGCCACAGAAACACAGGACAAAGTTACACAGACAGTTCCTCAGACTTTGCTACTCTCAGTTTGCTTCCCCAAAACAGCCCCAAGCTCTTGTGAGCAGCTGCTCAGTCCTCAGAGGTGGAAACTCCAAGCCAAACACTGCTCTGGAGGACCCAACGGGCACAGTGGGCACAGGCAAGGGATGTCCCTCACACCCAACCTTCAGCAGAAGAAGGTTGACCCCAAGCAACCCACACTAAGAAACACCATGCAGCAACAGGTCACCTGTGTGCAGTATCATCCTACTCTACTCTCCCTGAAGAACCCCAAACAGCCAAGCAAACAACTATCTGCAGTCCCTGCTGGAGTCAGTAATTGAATTCATGAATGTGTTCGGCACAAAAAGGGGAAAATGGGAGACATCTGATACTACAAACAAGATACAAAGCCAAACAGAACTTCATCCAGCCAAAGGAGTTCTAGGAGACTGCAGGAGAAGTAGAAGATGAGCTGAAATCTGCCTCCATACACAGTGTTGCCATGTTAACAGGGAAATGTTAGTGCAGAGAGATCCTCAGCACACAAAGCCTTCCTGAAAGGCATCTTGAAAACAAAAGGTACAGCTTGTGGTAGGAGGTTTCCCCTACTTTGGGGCTTATCAAGAGCAAGAAACAAGAAATGGAAAACAAGGCTGAGGCAGCTGAGCCATCCCCAGACGCTGTATCACACAGCACTGGAATTCCAGTGTCCTGGCTGGAGCAGAAGGAATAAAGGCAGTCCGTCTCCATGAGCTCTCTGCAGCCTTGGGAATATTCCCTGCTTCAGTTCAAAGCACAGATTTGCTGATCTTCCTCATTCATATGATCTGTTTTTTCCTACAGAACGGCAGACATGGGCAGAAAACACTCCCAGTCCCTCCGCAACAACTACAGAAGAATCTTCTCCCTGCACACCCCCAGGATGAGCTCAGCAGCCTCCTCCAGGGCTCACACTTGTGTGTTAGTGTTATCACAGCTTTGCCCAGCTCAGGGCAGTGCCCTGCTCCAGCGCTGCCTCCCCAGCCCTGCAGCATTCCCAGGCTCTCTGCTGTGACAGCTCCCGAGCTCCAGGATTGTTGGAATGCCCCGGACAGCCTCCCCAGCATCTCATCCGCCTGACAGCACAGACAGACAATTGTGCCAGCACAGCTGAGCAGGCAAAACACAACAGAGGCAGGAACAGGCAGCCACAACTCCCCACCCAGGACAGCCTAGACCAGCTCCTCACAGTGCTCTGCCTTCCCTGGCAAACTGCCCGAACCATTTTTTAGGGTATGAGAACAGATAGATAAAAAAAGATTTTATTTTGAGTTCTAACTCGAGGATTTTGTAAGCTTTACTTCTCAGACAAACAGTTTTGCATCACTAATTCCATAGGGTGTTCCAAGAACGGGCTGAAGGTCACTCATCCTGCACAGGGATCTGCTGGCTGGAGGAGGCTCTACCCTACAGCAAAGCCATAACCAAAGGGAGGGAAGAACATCCACCGCACAAGCTCGACCGGCTTGGAAAAGCCCTGAAGCTTCCAACTGTTTCCAAAGGGAGTTACCTCCCCAGGAACCTGCAGTGAATCCTTCACCAGCTGCCCCACGTTCCAGCAGAGAAGCTAAAGGAAGGCAACCAGACCCAGCGTGTAAAGAACATCCTTGTTACCTCACGGTCCCCAACTGCTTCTTGCTAACCCTCAATCCTGAGCATTACAGGGAAGGAGGCCCAGGCTGGAGGCACCACGTGCAGACACAACCCACCAACTGCTCTGTTCCGTGGGAGCTGAGCAAGAAGGTACCTTCAGCACTCTGGACTGAGTGATTAGATCTTGGGAATGTTTCTAGGTTTGGGAACAAACAGCAGTGCCAGTTCAGATGCAGAAGTCACAGCAGAGTAGAAGAGAAAGTTCCAAATGAGATCTAAGAGTTTGACTACTCCCAAAACACACCTCACCAGAACTGAGGAAGTCACTCCCAAATGACCTCCCTTAGGGCCACACTGGTGATGGGAAGGTGCACTGGTTTCCCCTCAGAAGTGACCCCAAGCAATAACCAGCACCACACGGCTCTGAGCACACAGACAAGCCGTGCTCAGGGTCCTGCTTACATCCTGAATCGTGGTGCTTGCTCCTTCAGCCTTCCCTGAGTTTCCTTCTCCTCCAGCATCCTGTGCCAGGGCGTTATCATCCTCCACCACATTCCACCCTCACTCTGCTTCTGTGTCTGGTCAGGCATGGAAACACCCAGCCCCACAGCACCATCCCACACCTCCCACCTGCCTTGGGATGGCACAAAGCAGGCAGAAGTCAGGATTAAACCCCCAGAGCAACACATTGTTCGTAAGAAAGGGAGAAAACCAGATCAAGTTTATGATAGAACTGTGGAAACGCTGGTGAGGAGTCTGGAAAAGGAATATATTGCTTTGAACAACGCAGGAGATTGAGTCTCCAGCACAGACCACCTAAGCTGAGCGAAACAAGAAGTACATGAGGTTGCCAGATATTGGTGACTAATGGGACACACATTTGTTTTCCATGAGCACAGCCTTTGTCAGGCTGAGGCTCTAATCAGAGCTGACCACATTCCCACAAAGGTAAAGCAAGCTCTTTTTCCTGCCTGTTTCCTGAGCCAGCACACATCTGCACAGCCTCAGAGTTCATCTGCAAAACAAACACTGATCACAGCTAATCTTCTGGGCAGGAAAATTAATGTGCAGACCACAGCTCAATAAGTAGGAACCTTCCGATATTTTTAACAGCTCTTCAAGGGTCAGGAATTCCAGCCCAGATCAACCCATTCACAACTCATCCTGAAAAGTTCCTGTATTTTTACCATCCCAGCTCCAAACTAACTGGGAACAGAGCTTTGCTTGGGTTACATCACCCAACAGCCACGAGCTCCTCACAGCCCCATCACCCTCACACACACACACAGAGTTCAGCTCCTGCCCCCAGAGCTTGGCTCAGGCACTTTGGTACCAAACAACACCGTGTTGTGATCAGTCAAATTCTCAGTTCTGACACAGACAAGGAAGGGAAAATGGGAATGAAGTGGCACCAGCTGAGCAGAGCAGCTCTGGCCAGAACCACACTCACATGCCCTGAGTGCCCACAAACACTAAATAAGTCATCACTTCCCACGAGCTGGACCTGCTAAGCGACAGATTCTCATCCCTGCACAGCTCTGCACAGAGAGGCCAAGGGAGCACCAGGACCTGTGATCCAGCTGTGCACAGGGACTGCTGCCACCACCCCAAACAGCTGATTTACAGGCAGCATTTCCCATCAGAGACACTAACAACAAACAGAGCTCTCTGCCTTTTAAACTTCTCCTCGAGCTGATTAATACCATCTATGCTAAATGACAGGAGTTCCCATACAAGCAGCTCCAGATCTTCCCCTACGTAACCAAGTAAGGACTGTGACTTCCAAGCACCACTGAACTCACCTGGGGTTGTCCTAAACAACACTCCAGTGCAAGGACACCAATTTCTTACACAAGTGCAACTGAATAAAGCTAAAATCAAAGTCTGGCCAAAAGGAAATAGGTGGAAGGGGAAACGGTCAAGCCTTAAATTCAATAAACTTTCCCAAACTGAAACTCTCCTCCACCATTACTTCTACCTCTGATCACTCCACATGGGTGACAGAAGTCTGTGTAGCTAAGAAGAGGCTAAACCATGAACCAACCAAACCCCTGGACATTCTTGATTCATTCTATCAATTCCCCCTGAGATTTCAATCCAGGCAGAAGGGAAAGGGAAGCGAATTGTTCCTGCAGCAGAGACCTCATCACACTTGGTCCCATTTATTTCTTGCCTAGTCCCCACCAGCCTCGAAGGCAGGAAGGAAGAGTTGAGTGGATAGGGAAAGGTTTGATACTTATTCTTTACCAAATCCATCCACACGACAACTCCTCCCAAAAGACACACAGAAGAATACATTTCTCCCCCGATTTCTCCCTGATTTTTCATTAAGTGCTGCAAAATGTGCCAGCATAGCATAGATCCTGACCAAACAGCTTCAGGTTAAGCCTCACTCCAGATCACACTAAAAAGGCATTTCAAAGGTAACTTAAAAGATAAATGCAGTTTTCCCTCTCTAACTGACTACTCACAGAAAGAAAAAAAAAAAAAAAGAAGGAAATCTTTTAGGCTTTCAAGTTCTTGGCTACTAAACCACTTGGGAAACAGACAGCAGAATGACTTCAGAAGAAAACTACTTTAGACCCAGACTGGTTAGCATATTTTTGGAGGCTGATCTTAGGCTTTACAGGCAGAGAAGAAATGAGGGTTTCCCCCCTCCACAGTCTTTGAAACTGTCAAACAAATAAAGGCAAATACACCCATAAAACATTTCCCACAGGTGAGCAGTTGCTCTTTCCTTCGCTTCACAACAAGTGTGGAATCACTGCTGTCCTTGTGAAGGTCCAGAAACAAACAGCATGTCCCAGCATCAAACTCCTGGGAAACTGTCAAGGCAGCAAGTGACCCTCAGAGCCCCTGGGCACCACCAGCAGCACTGTCAGCACTGCCTTTAGCAAGGGAGAACTCTGTGGATAACAATCGGGTTCCAGCCACACTCCCACGAGAGATCTGGTGCAAAACAGGCTGGGAAACACCAGGGAGGTGGTGTTACACCCACCTGCACTGCTCCGAGAGCCTCACAGGCTGAGCTGGGGGATGCTCCAGGG